CACTTTGCATGGAGCTCAAAGCTGTTTTCATTTTGAATGGAAGAAAATGTGACACACACTTCCTCCCTAAATGGGCTACCTTGTAAAAGTTATAACTCATCATCCAGGACCGGTGCCACTAAGGATGGCCTAGCTACGTGCCTGCAGGCCTTTTGGGTGTATGCGTGTGCCGTCGGGGTGGTGGAGTACTTTCACCAGAGAATACAAGGCTTCAAGTGGCATTTGACCAGACACAAGAACATCCTTCCCTTTGACTTAGTGAGATTTAATATGCTGGAATTCTAAATGGTATTTTCCTTTTGTTCCTGTGCATCTTGCAGCGAAGTGACGATGATGACAGAAGCAGTGACAGGAAAGATGGGGCTCTAGAGGAGCAAATAGAAAGACTGCAGGAAAAAGTAGAATCTGCTCAGAGTGAACAGAAGAACCTCTTCCTTGTCATATTCCAGGTATCTTGGCTTGGGACACTGATAGGTTAAAAAACAATGTAGTTCTTTAGGCTTGAAAAATGTTTTTTTTTTTTTTAATCATAATACTTGAGCATTTATAAAAGTTTAAAATACAAAAATTTACAAAGGAAGTAAAAGTTCACTACTTGCAGGTAACCACATGGACCCCCTGCGTCTGTGGTATATACGTAGCATTCTTAACGTGAGCGTTTCTCCAAGCTTTCACAGAATGTTTGAGGATACTTTAAATACCTCTTATATTTAATTATTCCCAATTGTTGATCATTTTCCTTTCTGATGAACATTTTATACATACATTTCTAATTATGGCCTTAGAAGTAGTTGCAGAGAAAAATGACAGGCATAGTAATCTAGATATTAAAGGTGTTCGTGTATTATAAAAAAGGATGTACAGACATTAGCCCTAGTCTGCCTTTCTAGACTGACAGGATTTATTGACTTAGGAAAGTTGGCAATGCACATCATGAAGACTGAGTGGAATAAGCAGTGCCTTTGAGGTTTCTTGATCAAAAATGTGATTGCTTTTTAAAGCATAAGAATTTTCCCTGTAACACTGCTTTACCTTTGTACCCCGTTTCCAGCGATTTATCATGATCTTGACTGAGCACTTAGTACGATGTGAGACTGACGGGACCAGTGTATTAACCCCATGGTATAAGAACTGTATAGAGAGGCTCCAGCAGATCTTCTTACAGGTTTGTGGGAAATTATGATTAGATAATAAACATCACTATTCTCAGCCACAAGGACTTTTAAAAAAAAGTTTTAAAACTTTTAAAAAATGGATTTGTCAGGAGGTTTTGTAGTACTTGTAAGGAAGGCCCCTTTAATGTCCATTTGCTCCTACTATTGCTCATCAGAATATTTAGGCTTAAATGGCTCCTCTATCATTCAGACTCTTAATTGCTGTTCTCTAGGTCTAGCCTGTAGAGATCTCAGTATATATGCAAGTCGTACAGGCATGCATAGAAGAGATTTTCATTTTCTAACATTTTTCCTCCCACGTAGGCTCAACGGGTCAGGAATTGTCAGTGAGATAGATGAACTATTTTTAACAGACAAAATGAAGTTTGGATTTCTTAGTTTATAGAACACTTACTAGAGAATTAGCCAGTGATGTTATCTTTTTGTAAAACAAAAAACTTAGATGCTCTAACCAGTAAAAGCAAAAAAAAAAAAAAGGAAAATTATTGCAAAGTATCTTTTCTCATGTTTCAGCAACCATGTTTTTAATCTTCTTTCCTGGGTTTTTAATCTTGGGCCAGTCCCTGCCTGGGATACCTTTAAAAAGTCCTACTGTCTTTTGTTCTAATTAGCAGAGACCCAACTGAACCTAGACTGTAATAGAAGCTGCTACTGCTTTGAAGCATGAATTACATTTATGTTGAAATCCAGTTCTGACCAGTTGTTTTTTCTAAGTTACTGACATCCTTCCCATTTTTATATCCCTCTTCCTATCAAGCATAACGACTTTTTTCCCCTATCCCTTCCTATCATTCCACAACATGGGCAGGCTTCTGAGCAAAATGTTCTGCATGGTCTTTTTCCTAACCTAAAATCCCCTTTTTTGTGTCCACAGCATCACCAAATAATCCAGCAGTACATGGTGACCCTGGAGAACCTGCTCTTCACTGCTGAGTTAGACCCTCATATCCTGGCTGTGTTCCAGCAGTTCTGTGCCCTACAGGCCTAAGGGTCATTTTATTCCCCTGTCAAGATTTTTTAAAAATATCTCAAAATAATTTGTCTTATTTTTTGATGGTTTGAATGCTTGCTTTCTTGTAGCATCCTTTCACTTACTAAAGGGGGGTGGGGGGGAACAGTGAAGAATATAGCAGTGATCACCTTTGATTACCCCTACAGAGCAGAAATTCCCGACTGACAATGTGACGATGACCATAGGATGTATTATATATGTGACACATACAACTTTTCTGGTATTTTCTCCTTAAGGCACAAAAGATAAGTGATTTGAGGTATGTGAACACTAGAGGTCCAGCTTACAAAGTAGTATATAGAACTGGTGGGTTTACTATCAAGTAGCATAGCTTTTCACAGCTCATGGATAACCTAACATGGCTGAAATAAAACTAAAAATGTTTTTTAAACTTTGGTATTTCATGATTTATCATCTCAATCTACTTTAAAGTTGTTGGTTTCTTATTGAAGGTGTACTTCCCTCACTTGGAATTCTCCCACTCTTCAAAGTATCTTATTAATAAATGTTACTCAGAGTAGCACTACCCAAAATCTTTACAGTTATTTTCTAAATTAAACCACAATTTCCAGGGTGCAGGCAGGTGTGGGAACTGTTACCTTGGAGCCATCTGGGCATCTCTAGTCTTGGAGACAGATTTGTCCAGGGTCCACTAGTGAAGTACATGCTACAGTGGAAATAGAAGTAGCTAGATTGGCTAAAACTTCAAATTATATGTAGGTTTGGATTTTCCTTCTACAGAACTTGCTTCAGGTTCTGTAGAATTACTAATTCTTGAGCCTGTTTCCTATGTGGCATTAAAGTTTAACTGAGATAATAAGAGTGCACATAAAATAATATGCAAGTATAAGGGATTATCTGACATTGCCAGTTGTTAACATTTTAAGGCCTCACTAAACCTTAGGAAAAATTCAACAACCCCACAACTGGTAAGTAGTTTTCCTGTGCATTTGTACAACATAGGTATTGTTAGCTTATTACATCATAAATTTAGGATGCATTAGCATTTTTTGTATCGTTATGCAATCTCTTTGGTTTATATCACAGTGGCTATAAAATATAGTCTACTCAAGAAATAAGAATTCCTAGGTTTTTTAAATACCATACCATTTAAAACAAAAAATTATTATTCACAGAATTAAGGGTGCATATGGCAAGGTACTAGCAAAAAAGGGACTAAAGCCCAAGTTCTTGTCTAAATATTCTTTTGGTTTCCTTCATCCCACAAACAGTAATCAGTTAGACATGGCTCTTGTACTCAAGATGCCGAAAGGATAACCAGTTAAGGTTTGGGTAATCTTGTAGTCCTGTCCCAGTGTCCTGCAGAATTTGGCTAGTTAACCCTGCTTGATCTGAATTCTAGAGGGATTTTTCTCTTGGGTCCTCTCATGTGTAGTATTGCTTCCAACAAGAATTCACTGATGTGACCCCTACTCTGTACAGTTGGCAGCTAAGTTTATGAAAAAAACTGGAAGTTGAATTTTGAAAAAGGTGTAAGCAAAAACATTCAGCAGCTGCTTTCTCCACTAAAGAGCTCATACAGACAAAAGGATAGCCGGTCACTACTGTACCTTGCAAACAAATCAATATTCTGTTAAATACTCTATCAATGCCATTTAATATTTTCCCCATTTTAACATGTCTTTTGTCAAAGTGAACATATGCTTTGTTTTTCCTTGATTGTAAATCTCCCTTCCAGGAACAATTCAGACAGTAGTTCATATGAAAGTAAGTTTGCTTGCTCTTCCTGGAAACTAGTAGTTTGTTTTGTTGTAAAATTTACTAATCTGTAAATATACCTGAAAATGAGAAATGAGGAACGTGCCAACCTGGGTTGAGCACGTTGAGCTGTTGGTGTTCTCTGGATAGGAGATTATCTTAAATTGATCAAAGAGTGAATAGAAGTGTACCTGAAACTAGACAAATCTAGAACTATACTGTCCTGATGAGAATATGTGCTCATTAACAAGCTGCTATTGTGTGCCACGTGCCACAGACTCACCATATTTAATCCTTAGAAACCATCCCTCTGAGTGACTATGCCCAGCCAGCAGATAGAAAGGCCCACAGCTAAAAAGTGGAATGTGAAGCACCTAGGTAGGTCCTGTGGCTCAACGGCTCTTTATCTCCCACACAGTTAATACTGTTGTCAGCTACCTAGACCCTCCTTACTCTGTTGTCATCAAGCTGGAAGCTTTCTTGTGGTCCCAGGATGGTGTTGCTGCCCATTCTGAATCAATTTTTACAGAATCAATAATTTAAAAAAAAAAAACCTGGCTAATATAGTAAATATTTCTATACTGGATTCTCAGAACAATTAGTAATTACAGTCTCAAGCCTATTTGAGTTGGACTTGTTTGGACTTACCTGCCTTCAAGCATAATCTCCAGAATTGATCTGGAAAGGAAAATGAACCTATTTCTTCTGCTTGTAGCAACAGGACTAAAAAAGTGGTAAAGAACAACTTGAAAATACCCAGTTTAACTTGAACAAGTTTTGTAATAATAACAATAATGCCACAGACCTTGTAATCAAGCACAAATCCTCTTACTAGTTCCAACTACCTTGTAATCCTTTTGACAAAACGGTCAAAACTGACTAAGCCTGTTCCAGATGTTTGGGGCAATGTCTGTCTGTAGGTTATCACTTCCTTTAGAAATGCTTAGTAAACACAGAGGTTATCTTCCCTCCCAGGATTAAAGGAGGATACCTGTAAGCCACTTATCATCACACCTGCCCGGCCCACAGTAAGTGCTCTGTAAATGTTAAGTTAGGATAAACTTAGTACCTTTTTTGATCAATAGGAGACAATATGGCTGTTGTTCCATTTTAATCCGGATTTGAAAAGGGCCATATAGACACAGACATTAGGGCCTGTGGTAGTAAACTGTAAGGATACAGAAAACATGATCAGACTGCACAACTCAATTGCTGCTGTTGGTCAGGACATGTCCAACAACGGCTCCCCACCCCCTCATGTGGAGACAGAGTCTAGAAGACCCGTTAGCCTCTGGGGCCCAGTATCTACCACCATCCGCGTTGTTTCCTAGGAGAAGAATATGTTTCAGCTGCTTCTGCACTTCATAAAAGCTCTTCCTCCTAATTCCAGTCTAGGGTTAGGTTTGGCTTCTTAGTTCTCAATTTTAGTTCTAACTTTTGAACCTACTCCACCCCCCAGCTCCCATCCCTATGGTAGACCCAGTATTTTGCCCACAACCAGACCTGCTGGACTGTAACTGAAAATTGCTCTTAAGCCATAACATACAAATTTCTTCCTGAAGCATTATTTACACGAGTGGTCCATTCATCTGTGAACACTTGAAAACTAGTCAGTCACATCTTCTCATATGTCAACTCATGGCCACACACAGTACATGTCTTCCGATACATGTCATCCTCTAGGTTTTCTTCTGGTCCATATTCATGCTGATGAGCAACTGTTTCCCTTTTCCACACGCTGCTTCTTACTGCTCGCCGTAATTCTAAGAAAATAAACAAAAGCCAGTTTTTCAGTGATGCTATTCAGCTGAAACCCAAAATCTATGAAGTGTGTGTGTGTGTGTCTTCTATGAGGGACGCCTGAGTGGCTCAGTGGTTGAGCCTCTACCTTCAGCTCAGGGTGTGATCCCGAGATCGGGATCGATTCCCACTTCAGGCTCCCCACATAATAATATAATAATAATTATATATAAGTCCCACTTACGCTTCTCCCTCTGCCTGTGTCTCATGAATAAAATCTTTTTTAAAAAAATAAACCTAATAGGGTTTACATTAATTTTATAACAAAAATTGATTCTATAACATTGGCCAACTTGGCCTGTGAAGTTACTCATTGTTGGAGCCACGTGAAATGGGAGCTACGGAAATGGGTAAGTGGGTTAGAGGGAGAGTAAAACAAATTCAGAAGATTAGTAAAAGAGGATTTAGAAAAATGGCATTTGTTCAAGCAGCTAAGAAAAATGATGCCATAGCAGGAAAGGAGCATTTCACAGTTGCGTGTGAGGGGCTGCTTCTATAAGCAAGATAACTAGAAAGCCAAGAACTCTGCTGCTGTGCTGGTGTTTCATCTTAGAAAAACTGTGTGCCTGACTTGAAGTCCATTGAGTTCCTTATGAGAGCAGTATTTTAGGAGAGGGATTGCCAATTATTGCAAAGTACAACCTAAGAATCAAAAACAGCTGGAAAAGAACCATAGCTTTTATTTTACTTATTTCACAGGTAGGGAAATGGAACAAAAATAGCATGTGACCTCAGGTCATTTATTCCACAGTTTAGAACTTTCTCCACTGTGTCCTGTTAAAATGTCAAAAAACGGTTGAGGGGTGCCTGGGTGGCTCGGCTGCCTAAGGGTCTGCCTTTGGCTCATTAAGCTCAGCAGGGAGCCTGTTTCTCCCTCTCCTCTGCCACTCCCCCCTGCTTGTGCTCTCTCATGCCCCTCTGTCAAGTGAGTAAATCTTTTTAAAAACCAAATAAAAAATAAAATGTTGGATGCTTTGAAAAGCAACTGAGCCAATCACATTTTAAAAGTTCACACTATATTGCCTGAAGAAACCAAATGCTTAGTGTTAACTGGAAATTAACAAGCTAATAACTCCTCAGTTTCCAGTTTAATGAATAAAAAGCAACACTAATTGTTTACATTTTTCTTATTCTGATCTATCAAGTGCTGGCAGCACTACCTAAGGAAGAGTGTTCCATCTCAAAAATCACTGTACGCCAAGTGATCACATATTTTCTTTAATCCTCCTCATGATTAGTATCAAAATACTTGAATCTTTGTATTTCAGACTTTATTGTATCATAAGGATAAGCAGAGGTAGCACTACCTATTAGGCACTGTTCTAAGCACTTTATAAGCACATTTAATCCTCATAGCCCTTTGAGAGAAGTACAACTATCACTCAGTTTTAACATGAGAAAACCAAGGCCCAAAGAAGTGACAAACGTTGTGCCTAAGGTCAAACCCAAAGGCCTGTCTAGCTCAGGTTCCTGTGACCAACCACTAAAGCTGGGCTGCTTTTTCCCCCGCTCACCTCCATGAGAAGCACTTCATGAGACCACTGTTTTCAAGCTTCAACATAACATACCTCTAGACAGTTTCCAAACTAGAGGAAACATTGTGTTTTCCTAATAATCATCTTTATTCCCACATCTGTCACATTCTGAAGAAGTTAATTTTTTCTAGACATACCTGGAATGCCTTTTTACTTTCACCTTATTTTTTTAAAATAATTATTTTTTTAAAGATTTATTTATTTATTTATTCATGAGAAACAGAGAGAGAGAAAGAGGCAGAGACACAGGCAGAGGGAGAAGAAGGCTCCATGCAAGGAGCCTGATGTGGGACTGGATTCCAGGTCTCCAGGATCACACCTTGGGCTGCAGGCGGTGCTAAACCGCTGCACCACCGGGGCTGCCCTTTTCACCTTATTTTCTAAAGAAAAAATGAAATGTGCTGACCAGCACAGATGCCTCGTGGTTTCAGACAATGTCAGGGAGAGGTCTCCTGTTTGAGTTCCAAATACCTCCCTGATACAAGGTATCCTAGACACATTTCCTTTACTGAGAAAATGCTCTCAAAATCTGACTGCATCCCAGTCCCTGCTAAGCTAACCTCCACCTAACTTGAGTGTTATGTGAACTCAGGAAGAGGGAGAAGAAAACTATTTGCTTAACACTAGAATACAGACAACAAAATCTAGTTTGCTATCCATAATTGGTCATAATTGAACATGAGGTTTTTACTGACTTTATGGCTTTTTCTTCCCATCAAGAATAATGGTAAGAAATAAAACCATTATCTTTAGTATTTACTAGACACTCCTGGAAAAACTTATGCTAGGAAATGAGGAAGTACTAAAATACTGGTATGTTTACCATTTTCTTGCCTTCTTTCCCTTGAACACTAGTCCTAAAGCCATTAAGTGGAGCAGGTAAAGCAGGCATCTGCGATAGGGATGAGTGAGCCCAAGAAAAGTAAGGAGGCTCTCCCTACTGTGGAGGCCACTAGCAACAGTGATGGGAATTACATACTGGGGTGTCAATCAAATGACTACATTAAGGATAATACGAATCAGGTTTCTTCTCAATGTCAGAGAAGGGAGTTACAAGCAAGGAAAGAAAAAGAGAATGAGCCCTAAAATTCTGAATTTAGAACTGGGTATATGAGTGTGAACTCAAGGTGTTAATTTACAACACATGGGGCAGATATTAAAAAAAAAAAAAACAGATACGCACATGTTTTGTGCTATAAAGTAGAAGTCCTCAACAATGAAGACATGGCAAAAGGACAGAGGAGCTAGCTTACAGAAGATTCCTTTTGGCCCAAATCTCAAGACAGTCTGAACATCAAAATAGGACAGAAATGAACCAAAAGCCATGGAGAAGAGCAGGAATTCATGCATCCACACCAATAATAAATACATGGCAGAGAGGATGTTGTAGAGTGCAGACTTCTAACTGGCTAAATGTGGAGAGAGCACTGAAGTTCAAAAACGATTTTTGCAAAGAGCATACTAAAGACTGGTTCAAACAAGAACCATCCGTGAATAGATGCTAAATCTCAGGGGAGGTGTTGAGGAGAAGCAAGATATTTGGCCCATAACCTTTTTTTTTTTTTTTGCTTATATAATAAAAAATAAGTAACGTCATTATTGAAGGCTGATGGACATATGTGTCCAGATAGGATACCCTAAGAAATAAGTCACTGATGTACAGCTTCCTTCCTGAAATGCATGTGACTCTAACCATTGTGAAGCATCAGAAAAGCCCCAATTAAAAACATTTCTAAACAGGCAAGACGGGGAAAGGAAGAGATTTCTTAAAAAATGTCAATGTTAAAAGAGACAGGGGTTCTGGAAATATTCCAGAATAAATAAATTTAGAAAGAGTGTACCTGGAGCCAAGCAATGCCTGATCCTAGATTGGATCCTGAGCTATAATGAAAAACTGCACAGGATGTTACTCGGCGAAGTAACAGAACTAGACTCTGGATGACAGGAGATAAAGATCTCACTACAACACTCTGGTCCTGCGAGGGACGCTGTTGCCAGGAAGCACGCACTGCAGCACTAGGAGTGCGGGAGGGATTGACGCACAACCACCTCTTCAACAGCTCTGGCAAGTGTCACATGCAGAGTACAATGACACAACAGGCATCGTGCTAACAATAGATCAGTCTGGGGAAAAGATACAGCGGTGTCCTTTATATTATACTTATCTTTGCAATCTTATGGAACTTTTTGAACTTATCTCCAAATAAAAACTTAGAAAGTCAGGAGTTAGCTGGAAGGGGCCAAATGGGAGACCGTCTAAGTTCCAGAATGATGAACAGGATTGGACTATAATACCAATTTGAGAATAAGAATCCATGAATCCAACTGATACTTGAAAAGCTCTTCCTAAAGGAAGTCAAACAATTATAGAAAGAATAACAGAAATAGAAAATCACCATTTCTATCCAGCCTAGTAACAACAGACTCGGGCAAGAATCACGCCCGTGTGCTAAAACCTATGAGCGAGACTTAAGAAAGGAGATGCTCACTCACACAGTACCTAAGAGGACCCCACAGATTTCCTACTAATTACAAAGAAGAGAGGGCACCTGGACAATGGGCAAACCTAGCAGACACCACCTCAACCGAGCCATCAGACGACACAGTAGGACTCTTAGCTGAGAGCATGTGCCTCCTGACGTGACACAGCCACATCACCTGGGAAGGACTCCTACCAAAAATGCCCAGAATCTAATTGTGAGGAAATAAGCTGCTAATAAACCTAAATAAGGATGTTCTGCAAAACAGGTGGTGGTCTCTAAAAAAGTAGTCCTAAAAGAAAACCGCTGAAGGCCTGAAAGAGTACAGACAGTATCACCTTTGAATGGCCCTTGGATCCAACAACTAAAAAGCCGTGAGGGACATCAGAACGACTGGATGTCTAGGACACATCAGACAACAGCATTGTGTTAATATTACATTTATTTTTTTTATTTTTTAAGAGTTTATTCATAGACACAGAGAGAGAGAGGTAGAGACACAGGCAGAGGGAGAAGCAGGCTCCATGCAGGGAGCCCGATGTGGGACTCGATCCCGGGTCTCCAGGATCACACCCCAGGCTGCAGGCGGCGCCAAATCGCTGTGCCACCAGGGCTGCCCTAATATTACATTTAATCACAATGTTCTCAAGCAACTTTTAAATGGTCAACCGAGTGTGTGTGTTGTAAACAGATGTGGCAAAATGTCACCATTTGGTGACGTCAAGTTTTTAAATAAAGATGAGCGTTTTAAATTACTTCATTTAAGCCACTTAAAACTTTGGAAAGTAGAGGTCACGCCCTACTGCTGAGTGAGAAGAGGGAGGCAGAAAGGTCAGAGCCTAGACATGGGAAAGACTCACTAGCCCTGAGAGCTCAGGAGCCCTGGGGTGGGGTGGGGTAGGGAGGGGAGGGAAAGCCCCCCTTCCCGAGCCAAGCAGCACTGAAGCCTAGTGGAGCTAGAGAACAAAACAGGTTCTGTTACAACCTCCTAGTCCTGCTGGTCTAGAATTTCACAGCACAGAACGCTGTGGACTACCTCTGGGGAAATTTATAAAAATGTTCCTGCTAACCAGTCTTGCTATGGATATCTTCAGATAGATATTTTTACCTGAAGAATTTTTCCCCTAAATCCTTGTTTCAATGAAAAATGTATTTATGCCACTCTAAAACTTGTATTTTATTTGCCTTAGTATCTTAATTTTGTAAAAGCATCAGCTTGTATTCAAAGAACCCCAAAGCTGTTTATGAGGTAAACTGACAGGACAAGGAGCTGAGGGAGACCAAACGTTTCTAAATATTCAATGGAAGGGCAGGAAGTTGTGACCTAGGGTGCCTCTTGTTAACTAGAGGGAAAAAAAAAAAATAGAGGGGAAAAAAAAAATCACAGGGAGATTTCAAAAAACATGATGCTTTGATCTTATCTTGTTCTCCATAAACTGAAGCAGAGGAGCATGGAACTGTGTCCTTCAAACTCTACTAAGAGAAGCCTGAAAACAGTCATAAATATAACCACAGGCCCCACATATAAACTGTCCACACATTTAGAGCCCCAACGAGGGCTTTTCCTACCCTTCTCTTTTGGGGGGAAAAGTGAATAGTAACAAATAGAAATAATTTTTCATTTTTAGAAGGCTTACCTCTGCCAGTACTAAATAAAAGAAAACGGAGTGTAACTTTAAAGAAAAGTCTTATCTCCACCTTATCTGTGGCGAGGCATGCAAGCCCAAACGTTATGTGTATTTGTACCAAATGAAAGTTCTCTTCCAATAGCAGAGCCAGCGCACACTGCATTTTTTTGAAATTCAGTTAAACTGAGCAGCCATCATTTCTACTTCTGCCTTCTTAGATCTAAGAGATCTATAACAATATGAATTTGCTGGCAATTCTTGTCTTTAACCTTTGTCTATATTTATACTTTATTTTTTATATATAAATACTTTAATACTACTTATACTTAAATTTCTTCTGTAGTAAAACCAATTCTTTCTCAAGCAGATCACATTCTAAAAGCAGGTAAATGTAATCTCTTACCTTTCCATAAGGAAGTAAGCTTTGTGTCAGCTTCTTTGTGGATCAAAATCAGAAGAACAAGAGGAACCAGGTTCCAGTTTCTTTTCAACTAAAAAACTTTTAGACTTGCTTTTATTCCTCTCTGTTCTGAGCAAACTGCACGGTAAGCTCCTTGTTTCTAATCTCTACAGTGTCTACTCCACTCTCAGCCCTTTGTGGCCTAGTCAGGAGAACTGGAACATGTTCACCAACCTCTAAAGTAAACCAACAAAAAGAAGCCATAATTAAAGAGGGTACCGTGTTGACCTCTGCACACGAAACACCAGAAGACAGGGGAGTATTGTTTTTACAACTGAGAGAGCTCTCAGGTTCTCATATGCAAAGGAAAAAGAAAAACACCACTCAGAGAAACTTCCTCAAAAAGACATGCTTCATTCCAACAAGAAAGGAACTCAAAGAAACCAGTGTCAAGGGTCCAGAAAAAAATTCAGGGCAAATTTGAACTCTTTAAGGAAGAGGGAAATCCATAGTTTTATCTGGTGATCAATAGCAGCAATGTAATACCATGAGGAAAACAGCCAGTTATATTTGAGTTAACATTTCCTTAAGCTAATACCTATAAAAATTACATAAATCTTAAAAGAACTGTTCTATTTATACTAATTTGATCTATAGGATTATCTTAAGTTTTATAGAAAAAGTATAAAACAGATGCTATAATCTTTTACTATTAGTCGAATTATAAGAACTTGGCCACATTTACATGATATCTTGACCAAACAGAAATAGTATCTAAATACAAATTACATATAGTCCCCCCATTTTAAAGTATTTCATCATTTTGTAGGTCTAAGTCTCCAATTCTTTATCCACTTACTACCGTTTGCACCAAAATACCATCAGAAAAGTGACTTTTAGAGGCAGCAGAGAGGGAAGAGTGGAGGCAATGCAGGTAGTTGGAGTTACCAAAAACCCCAGCCTGGTCTGTAATTAGTCTGTCACTCTGCCCTCCCCTCTCATGCCCAGTAAGAAGCTTCTGTTACTTTATCCTTCGAGGCTCTCCTTGATGCTGGAAGAAGGGAGGGCTGAGCTAAAACATGAGGTGGAACATAATGTAATAAAAGATGAAAGGATAGGACCAAACTGAAAAGAAGTCTTTCCAAAGCCTCTCAGTTGGTCCTTGCAGGTGTTCTCAGTGACGGTACAGCAGTGGCTCATCTAGGGAAGATTCTTCAATGAAAGGCTTTTACATGGCACAGTTTGCTAAAAGAAATCTAACAAAGCCACAGAAGTGTGCTTACCCCCCAACTCAGGAGCTGAGGTCTTAGATAACTCTAACTTCTATAAAGATGTGTTGTGTGTAAGGATGTTTATCATGAGGTTTTGATAAACTTTATAAATGTCCAACAGTGCTTCCATTTTTATATGAAATATTTTTAGAGTCATGCATAGGAAAGAACTAGACAAACTGACACTAAGACATCACTACTGATGGTCTCTGGGCAGGAGACTACTACAAGTTTGGACTTTCCCAACTTTTCTGCACTGTACATGAATTAATCTTATAATGAGAAGAGGGAAAAAATACCCTCACAAGAAGAAACAAGGCAGGCTGACACTCAATTTTTGTTGTTTTAACACATCTGAGCTATCTTCCAAAATCTCTTCTAAATCCTAAACACCTATGCAAAATTATTTATTCTGGCTAAAACACTCATTTTAAATGGATATGCATAAGCCTGTACATACATAAGATACATGCTATCCATATACACCCTACACCACACTGGGACTCTACAATTACCATATGAAGAACACTAATGTAAGACTCTTTCCAGGGATTCTATGATCTAGCACAGAGGGCTCTTACTGCTCCAGGCGCACCCTATGCTCACCACTATCACGGTACTGATCACACTCCAACAGGATTTTAGGTTTATTTGCCTTTGTCTTCTGACTAAGCCTGACTCCAGCACTTATGTTAGCACAGTGTCTAGAACACAGCGGACAGTAATTACTGGACGCACTGATGGACAGATGAATGACTAGTTGCACATATGCATACTATGCAAATGGATGGACATAAAGAGAGACAGATGGAGAAAGGAATGGATAGACAAATGTATGGACAGAGGAATGAATGTACCAATGGAGATGTTCAGTTACGAAAGCTTGCTTTCAGTCCCACCTCGCTAATATCTATGTAACAAGTCACTCTACCCTTCTAGATCTTTTATTCACATATAGAAGAAAAATGATTAGACTCGCTGATGTGAGAAGACTCCCTCTAGCCACTAAATTAGAGGACTAACAGGCACAATTTTTGCATTTTAAGCAATTAGAGAGGTTTGCTGGTGGATGTCCTTTTCATAACCTTGTTAGTCATATGATGCCATGAACTGATACCAAATCCTTGACCAAGGATATCTGTCTGATCATTGTTCCTATATAAACACATAATTCACTTTGAGAGGAGGACTTACACACTTTTTAGAACTACAGTACTGAGAGCCTTAAACACCAACCTACTGAGAGCAAACTTTGTCTTTTCTTTCTTCAGTCTATTGAAAAACATTCCAATCTACTGGTGATAGATCTTTAAACAAGAACAACTTGTTTAGCTAAAGTCTGTCTGCAAGTCAGTAAAATACAATCCTTCATGAGATCAATGTAGCCACTTTTACTTTTTTAAAGATGTTTAAGTAATCTCTACACCCAATGTGGGACTCAAACTCCCAACCCCAAGATCAAGAGTCTCACACTCTGCCAACCAGGCCAGCCAGGTGCCCCTCCACTTACCTTTTACTTTCTTATCAAATTTCTTCTGTTTCATTTTCTCTCGGTTTTCCTGTCGAGCTTCCTTTGCTTCTTCTAATGCTTCCTGACTACCCCACACTTCAAGAGATCTCTTCACAATCTACAACACAGAATCCAGATTTAATAAGCCGTGATTCAGTCGTTAAGTATTATAAAGTCATAATGATTAAATCCATGGACACCAAAACGTGATCTCACTCAAAGGCAATTTTATAAGTATTTGAAATTTTTAAGAGATTTTTTTAAAGAGTGCTAAGAAACAGCTTTAGTAACACCTCTATCTAGGCCTACAGGACCTTTAGTAAACATTTGCTCAGACTCTAAGTACAAGAGTCTTCCTCTAACTGCTTCTCTGCTACATTGTTTCCACATGAATCCACAGAAGTACCAGCAGTCAGTGGGTCTGATGAATTTTGTCACACTCACCTAAAAATTTGCAGACCAATTAGCCACAGCCCATCTCCACATGAGATCATTTCCAAAAACCTCTCGCTGCAGAGAACCAGTCCAGACTGCTCCACTCCTCCCTGGTCTCTTACTAATTTCTGGTCTTTCGGGTATCATCTTTTTTAAAAAAAATAACTCTGGTACCTGAATGACCTAAAGTATTTATTCTAGTTTTAAAACTTTGCATTACAATCCCTGGACTCTTTATACTTGTTTACATTTAGATTAACACAGGTACAAAGAATTATGCTCAGGACCTCTCAACAAGAGAGCCAAACTCAAATTTCTTCCTAATATAATCAAGTGATATACTGGCATTTCCTAAATTCTAAAACATCACATTTCCAAACTTTAACACCCTAAGGATGCCACCACAGCAGCAAACTGCTTACTAGTGCTGTAACAGCTGAATCAAAAGTATGTCAGAATTGGACTCTGAATGCAAAGAAGTATAGGACTACCTTAATAAATCTGGTGTACCTGCCTTTCCTATTTATGTATGCACAAGCAGGATATATAGAAAAAAAACCCTCTAATAACTCTAATGGCACTATTTCAGTAAGTATAAAAGCTCCAAGTGACAAATAAGCATTGGGTTGGCATTTCTTCATTTTGATACATAAAATAATGGTGAATATTCTAATTGACAGGGTCTAAGGTTTAATAAAATTCAATAAATGATTGGTTTTACACTGTACTTTCTTAATTTTATTTGAAGCTACTGGGATTTTCTAGTATTTTCCAATTAACCTGCTCTAAAGCAATGTCTATCCATATATTTTTATATAATGGCACAGAAATATAACGTCTGTACTATTCTGGGATAGTGCAGGAGACTGTGACTCAAGGGACTCACACTAAGTGGGTAACCAACTCTGCATATCACCACAACACAAAGAGGTGAGAAGAGCCACTCTGAGACACAGAGGAGTTACATGGACACTTGACACGGTTCCAGGAGTATTTCCCAAGTGAAGTTAGATTGAGGCATTTGTGAAGCTCCTGAAACTTTCTAGGATTTTCATTGGAGGGTGTGGGTGGGTAGGGAAATGGGGTCCAACTTAGTTCCCAAGTTGTACTAGTAACATTACCTAATAGTAATTTATTTGCTCCAAAGTACCACACCAAAATGTGAAACCAGATGTTACTAAATGTCATTACATAGTCATTACATATGACTCATTTGCAAAACAACACAGGAAGCAAAACTAAGCTAATTAAAACTTCACCTGACCGAGGGCTTAAAATGACTGATTATAACAGATCAGAAACCTGTAATTTTAGGTAGAGTTTCATATCACCCCATTGTGAATGATGAGGATTCTTCTTAACAATAAATTTCAGCGGTGGTTCTCTTTTCTCTAAATCACAGTCTTTCAGAAGATATTCTTGTTTGGCTTCTGTTTTAGTTATGAGCTTGTGTTTATCATCAGCATCTCTGAAAACAAATCAAGTCCAGTACTGTTAGTTATTTTAAATAAACTAGGTTTTCAAACAGTCTAACAACCTAGGGGCATGACAAAACATTATTTTAAAATAGTTTTCCTTCAATTCATGGTCAAGTTAGCAGCATAAAAAACGTTAACAGAAAGACCCTAGTCCAGTAACCAGCATGTCAATACACAGGGGTTCCTGAGCAGCCGGAGGAAGAGGATGGTTAGGAACCTGCTACCAAGAGATGGTAAAGATCCACCAGGCCCACAGCAAGAAGGAAGACAGATCTATAGCTGAACCAGGGCCATCCTTCCTATTTATGTGGCATATCATCACTGTGATAAGCACAAGCTTCCTATGTTTCTTTGGCAAAATGGATACCATGAAAATTTTAGTAAACACCCAAAACAAAAATTGTAATTGCTAAGAATTAAATCCAAATGGATCTAATTATTGTCTTGCCCTAAACCTTAAATGCAAACATTAAACTTTAGCAATTGAGAACGTTGTCTGAAATAAGTACCTGCAGTTATCACAAGTTGCCAGATCAAAGTGACTCATAAGGTAAGAATCCATAAATTCTTTACCACATTCTTCACATATGGCATAATCAAATTCCATAACAGGTCCTAAAGAAATAAAGGTTAATTCTTTAAGTTTCCTTTTCTGTGATTTAGAATATATTTTCTCCTATCTTCAGTTTATCAGCATATACTTTATAACTGACACAAATATATTTACATAAAGGACAAAATCATGTATTTTGTATTGCTGCTGTAACAAATCATCATAAATCTTCTGGCTAAAATAACAGAAATTTATTAGCTTAGAGAGTTGTAGTTTGTAAGTCTGACATGAGTCTTAATGGGCTGCATTCCCTTCTGGAAGTTTTAGGGGACAATCTATTACCATTTTCAGCTTCTAGAGGCTGCTTGCCTTCCTTGACTCATGACTCCCTTCCTCCATCTTCCAAGCCAGCAGTAACAGCTTCTCACATCACTCTGGCTTCTTGCATAATCACACCTCCCCTAGGACTCTCTCCTGCCTTTTACTTTTAAGTACCTTTAAGTACACTGGGCCCACCTGGATAGTAGAGAACAATCTCTCTCACATCTCAAAGTCTTTAACCTTAATCATATCTGCAAAATCGCTTTTGCTAAGTTGAGGTAATATACCACGGGTTCCATGGCAATTAGAATATGGACATCTTTGGAGACCATTATTTGCCTACCACCATACTGTTGAGAGTACAAAGGAGGTGAGTCCCAGAGTAGAAGGGAGGGGAGGCGGCTGCCTACAGACAGAGAAGATGGGCACTAATATAGAACATGGAAAGAGCAAGTCAACACTAGGAGAGACAACACAGAATTCACTTACAAATGGGAAATTTTCTCCCCTCCATTTCACCCTACCACCACCATAAACAGCAATACACTGATCTCAACAATGAGACTGTAAACTTGAGGGTGGACATTATATTTAGCTATATATCCTCAACTCCCAGGATACAAACTAAGTAAAGCTCAATTTTGTTTTTTGAGGACTTCAAATACCTAGCTAAGGATCTTTATTCTATTAGTCTGAAAGTTTTACTAGTAAATCTTTAGGATGATTGTTACTGCCAAGCCCCAGCTCTGAGAACTGCCACAACTCCCAGTGGCAAGGAGAGTCATCAATTGTTCACAACTAGTTCAACACATTCCTATCACTGTCTTCCCTTACCTACTTCCAACACAACAAGGTCAGTTAAGAGTCTACCACCACCACTCCCCCGTTCATTCTACTCATCTCCAAACTCTAACAAAAATATCTCTCTTCCTTATAAAATATTAGCAAGGTGTAGCTACAGACCAAAGGAAAATTAAAAATACAGTCAAAGTTAGAGCTTCAAAAACTCCATTACTGGAACGTGTTAGAGTGGAGAAAAACCATGGTCTGAAATACCAATTAGGAGACTACTGCATAGTATTTTTTTCTTCCATTACAATTTGCAATTTTTTTGCCTTTTTTTTATTTCAATTCATTAACATATAATGTATTAGTTTCAGAGGTAGAGGTCAGTGATTCATCAGTCTTTTATAACACCTGGTGCTCATCATATCACGTGCCCTCCTTGATGCCTGTTGCCCAACTACCCCATCCTCTCACCCCCACCCTTCCATACTGTATAACATTAATCAAGTCATAAAATATGCATTTTCCTAATTTTAGAATCTTTATAATGAAAAAATTTAAATGTATAGAATAATGATTTTTCTACTCCCATCACTCCCTTTAAATTTACCATGTGGAAATTGGCAGGCTACTGCTAGAACCTTCCCTCCTCACCATTCATTCATTCACCTACTTATTTGTTATTGATACAGACTCACAGATCCTATTTTTTCCAATGGCATATCACTCAGTAGTGTCCTTAATTACTTTGGTGCTCAAACTGTCTCAGATTTGGCCAGCCAGGAGCCCCTTCAAGCTGCATAACATACTTGTATGTATGTATACACTGTATAACTGACAGTGTATTAGTTTCATATGCCTAACATAATGATTCGATATTTATATATATTGTGAAATTATCCCAATAAGTAGTTAACATCTGTCACCATTCATAATTCACAAAATCTTTCTTATGAGAACTTTTAAGATCTACTCTCCTAGCAGCTTTCAAATACACAGCATGATAATATTACTAGTCAACATCCTCATGATTTTACAACTAGAAGTCCATATCAATCACCTTCACCCCCGCTCACCCTTATCACCTTCCTAGTGATTCTGATGAACCTCTGTTCTAGATTATAAAAGCATTTGATAGGCTTTGCTTTATAGGCAAATGACCCATATAATTTAATGGTCTGAATAATTTTTATTTCTCTCAGCTATGTGGAAGCTCTTTAAAAATGAACAAAAGTTGATGGGGGGGGGGGTGCCTGCGTGGCTCAGCTAGTTAAGCATCTGACCCTTGGTTTCTGCTCACGTCGTGATCTCATGGGTCTTAGCCCGTGTCGGACTTCATGATCAGGGGAAGGAGAGTCTGCTCCTCCCCCACCTCCATATGTGCATTCTCCAAAATAAATCTTTAAAAAAAAATGATAGAAAATATCAATCTGGCCCCTTGTTTTTTTCTACCCACATAGGTCAGCCACATAAAGTTGTACAAGCCCCCTTGTGCAAAGGTATCTGGCCAGGGGGGCAAACAGTGGCTAAAATGCAATCTATGACCACTATGTAAGCCATGAAGCCTGGCTCAGGCTTAGCCCAAAGAATGAGGGCCTTTTCTAACCTGTCTCCCAAAGGGGACACTGTTGAAGGAAATAATCAAGAGAACATGATGGCCAGCTGACCTATGAGGCGGACCTGGGCAATCCAAGACTCCTCACCGTCTACCTTGTTCTTGGAATGCTCATTCTGTCCACCAGCCCCACAATGGGAGCTGTTCCAAGGACAAACCTTGAGAGAGTAAGGTGTCATTGAGGCCATCTGACCTGAATATGCAACTGAACCCAGTTAAGCCTCTGTATTAGGCATCATTAAGATTTGGCAGGTGGGTTCAGAATCTACTCATCTTGCAGCCACCAAAGACAAGCCTCATAAGTGCCCTTGCTAATTAAAGCTGCCACCTACCAATCTGGAGTGGCCGAATCCTTCAGCCTCTTGCCCTCTGTGTATCAGGCCAGTTTGCAAACCAACACACACCTTTCTAACTTCCACAAATGCCACATGTATACCTTAGTTAACCAGGAAGGCATTACAATAGGTTATCAATAAATATTTGTGTGATCTGTTAAATGAAAGTATAGGCTTTATAGCCCACAGCTGAGTGCAAAATCTGCAGACAAAGGTTACAATGAGACTTCATATCCATAAAATCATAGGGACTTTAAAGGTCTTTAATTCAATGCCTTCCCTTCCCATCCAAGGCTTCTGTAATATATCCTGATCAGGTCTTTCAATCTCTGAACTCCTTCAATGCTTTGCTACTTAGAGGCAATTCACTTGGTTAGGATATTTTTCCATTTCACAGAGTCACCACGAGACTCACATGATATAAGTGCCAACATTCTATTCTATATGTGCCACAGTGCTAAATATATACACAGTATTCCTTCATTATACTGGGCTGAGATCTCCCTCACTGTATTGTAATTGTCACCCACTGCTCCAGGTTCTGCCCTCCAAAGCAAATCATAAGTATAATCTCTCTTCCACAGAGAAACATTTCTTACACGTGCAGGCAGTTAAAAGTGTTCTCTAAGTGAAACCTACCCAGTTTTGGCAACTCCCCCTCACATGTCAATCTGAAGACATCCATTTTGACCAACCTATTCTGGACACTATACACTAGTCAATATCCCTCTTAAATATGGCATCCAAATTGAACAAATATTTTAATCCTTCCGGTCTCAGCTTCTGAAAACGTGCAATAGAACAGGACTCTCATCTACCTCGATGAACATACATTTCTGTTGCCACAGCTAAAACTAAAATAGGTTTTTTAAGCTTCCCCAAGGATAAACCTATAGATATATACATATATCTATATATTCCTCCAAACTAATAAAAGAATGTCCTAAATTTTATCTCTTGGGTTCTGGCTTTTCATTTCACCCTATCAAGACAACTGAGTATACTATTAGTTAATAGACTGGCTGTCCCTGCCTATTATAAAACAACAGCATCAACCCTAAGTACACAGACTACAAGTTAATCACTGCCAAATCTCTTTAATTTTTAATCTACTAGCAAAACTGCCAAACTGCATTCCTCTTACAAAGCTGACCTGCCCACTGACAACAAGTATAGCATTATTTAACATCAACTTACAAAGAGTTATGCATGTTACTCAAAATGACCAATCTAGATACCTAGTTTCTGAAAATACACTCTACCTGGTTGATGGATAATTTTTCCAATTTTATGTTCTTCTTCTTCTTCTTCTTCCAGAATGAAGCCTCCTCCTGTGTCAATGATTTTCGGGGCTGCTTTTACATTAGCCATACCTATGAAAAGTAAGTAAAAGTGGTCAATGGCTTAACTAGGTAAGCCCATATGTTCCTTTGTGCATAAACAGGTTAATATATCAAGCAAGACAAGGATGTCCACTATTAACACCTCTACTCAATATTATACTGAAGGACCCAACTAGTGCACAATGGTAAGAAAATAAAATGGGCATATAGGCTGGAAAGGAATAAAAACAGTCTTTATCCACAGATAATGTGATTATGTATGTAGAATATCTACGAGAATCTACAATCAGAACTGAGAAATAACATCTAGGAAGAGGTGTAACACCTCTACAATGCAACCACCACTTAGAATAAAATCAAAGACCTAAATATAAATAGAGAAATATACCACATACAGATTGGAAGCCTCAGTATCATATTTAGTGCTGAGATTTCTGTCTTCAGTATTTCTATTTCAGCCTACTGTACGATTTTCATTTTATGTCTGCGCTAGCACATAGGCCATGGAAAAGACTGAGAAGTTGCTTAGAATGTGGTGCTAAGGACCAGGGGAAACATCCAGGCAGAGCAGCAGAGAGAAATGGGGCTTTGTCTTGGTATGACTGAGCATTGTTCAGTATCTTGCTCAAGTTATGGGCTCGACTACTCCAGCTGGTCCAAACCGAACTCTTTGAAGCTCAACAGGGTGTATACCATGTTACAGCATAGTTCAGTTCAGTTCTCAGATAAGTGCCCTAACAGAATATTCAGCCTGCCTTGCTTTGCATGATCAGAAGTTTAATACTATGTTCTTTTTTGCATCCAGTCCACAGCCATTTAGTACAGATCTACAAAGCTTGGTGAAATCATGAGTATGAATTAACGCAAATGAACAACTTTTGTCCTGACTCTAGAACATCTCAAGTTGAGAAAGGAATTTTTTTAAAAGGTTTTACTTATTTATTCATGAGACACACACACGGGGGGGGGGGGGGGCAGAAACACAGGCAGAGGGAGAAGCAGGCTCCATGCAGGGAGCCCGATGTGGGACTCGATCCCAGGACTCCAGGACCACGTCCTGGGCCGAAGGCAGGTGCTAAACCGCTGAGCCACCCAGGGACCCCGGAGAAAGGAATTAAAACAAACAAACTAGAAAACAGAAAGGATGAAACCAGAACTCTCCAAAGTAGCTAGAATTGGCAGATCCAGTGTCAGTATGAATATCGAGACATGCTATCAGCTCCCGACTCCTGTCATTTTTCTTTTCTTCTGGCTGATGAAAAGGGGTAGTAGATGACACAGCTCTAAAGTACGCTCAACACAGTATAGCATGTAGCTTTAGGAACAGGTGTACTTCATGTCATAGAGGCAGTCTTGAAAAACTGCATGTCCACCCAACTATTTTAGGTACCCAAAGGAAGACGACAGTGCAAAGTTATAGGACAGAAAGGTACGCACATGAAAGACATGCAATCAAGGGCTGCCCTAAGAAAAGGGGGCGGGGGGGATAAAATTCAGACAGATGTAACAGCCTTTCTCTCCTAAAAGTGAGAGATGCCTGGCACAGAAGCAGTTGGTGGCAGGAAAAGGCCAAGAAGCCAGTATGGGACGGGATGCGCTCCATCCTCGTCCTGATTAGCTCGTGAACCCGCCGCTATGAACGCGGACAGGCAGATCCCTTTCCTTCTCTGGTCCTCAGGAAATCACCGCTCCCAAACAAACCCTGCCCTGATTATCTCCAAGCTAACAAGTCAGCTAACTCGAAAGATGTGAGTCACAGCAGGTGCTACCCTAGAGAGCCTCACGAAGCCAGTCGCTCGCGTCCGTTTGCCCCCGGAGCCCGGCACGTAGCAGGTGCAGGATCCCAATTTGCGCGCAGTCGCCTTTTTGTTGACGGGGATGAACCCGGGGGCGGTGCGGGGTGATCCCCGACATGGGCCACGAGCCTGAACGCTTTATACGCAAGGCCCACCCCTGGGCCCTTGGACGCGCAGCAGGGCCGGAAAGGGAAAGCTAAGGCGCCGACCGACAGCCCGACAGCCCGACAGCCCGACACCGGCTGGCACCCCGCGACCGGTGAGGGCGGCCGCATCCCCCAACCTCAGCGGAGAGCGGGGCCACCTGGGTGCAGGGAGGAGGCCCGGGCTCCAGCGCTTAACCGCTGGCGCTCTGGGCTCTGAGTCGGCCCTGGGAGCGGCCTCCCCGCGCGGCACCCGGCCCGCCGGAGGGAAGGGGCAGGCGCCGCCAGGGCCCAGACCTCCGGGAGCCGCAGCCGCCGCCGCCGGGTAGGGCCGGGCCGCCAGCCGGGCCTGGCGCAGCATCAGCGCCCGCTGCCTCTTCCGCTCGATGCTCGCCCGCACCGAGGCAGGCAGCTCCGCCGGCGGTTCCGAAGCCGCCGGCTCCGGCGAAGGTTCCCCGGCGGCCGCCATCTCCAGACGCCCCGGAGAGCCGAGGCTCCGGCCCCGCGCACGCGCACTGGCGCCGAAGCCCGCCCAGCGCCTGGTCCGGACGCCGGCACCGCCTCCCGGGCGACTCCGCTCGGCGGCCGCTGAGAAGGAGAGCGCCTGCGCGACTTGAGGCGGCTGGGGCGGGGCGGGAGGAGGGGGCGGGGCGGGAGGAGGGGGCGGGGCTGCGCATGCGTCGAGGCGGGGAACTAGAAGGGCGGGGGCTGAGGGCGGTGTTCAGGACCTACCTGGTCATCCTCAAAATCTTGGTTTTGCCTGGTGGTCCAGAATATACGCTTTGGAGTCAAATCTGGGTTAAGTTCTAGCTCTGACATTTACCATTGGTTGCTTGAACAACTTACGTAACCTCAGGTAAATTTCTTCAGGAGTCAAACGAGGATGATGACAGACCGCTTCCTGGGTTGTTGGATAGATTAGCGGCCAAGGTGTCCAGCCCAACGCCTGGCATATAGAAAGCTTCCAAAAATAATAGCAGCTAGTAGTACGAGCAGTGCCAGTCAAAAAAGCCCCATAGATGATTCATCTGACTTTATTATGAAAACATGGCCTAGGGGGCAAAGCCTTAGATTTGAAATGGGAAACCCTGGGTTCTAACTCTCACCTGCTGTATGACATCAGGGGTACCAAAGCTGGTATGCACGAACTTGGCTGTCTTTTCCATGAAATATTCCTTCAGTGTGGATGAAATGCCACCAGGTAGACAGTGGGTTTGGATTTGAGTCAAATCCTGACCTCCCAAAAGTGGTAAATGGAGCATTTTGCAAGGAATATTGCATGCTTTTCCAAAAACATATGCTTTTTTATTACAAACGAAATTTCAATTGAAACCAGAAGGCACATTATCTTCTAATTATTACATATATCATTAAAGACTAGTTTTCAGAACACCGAGGTTTCACACTAGTTTTCAATGATTAAAATTTTAGCAGAACCACCTAGTGGTTCTCATTTATTTATTATTTATTTAATTTGTTGATTATATTATTCACATGTATTAGATATAATTTATTATATTTAATATATATGAAATATAATCTATAATATATATTTTTTAATTCTGGAGAACATTATATAAAGCAGATAAATGCTCAGATCTTCTAGTTGAATGGAGATAGAGATCTCTCAAGCAATCCCTGTTTCCTTACCCCTCAGATTCCTTTCTCTTCCTATTTGTTGACCTTGTCCAGGTGACAAAATCTCAAATTCCATATAACACCAAAATCCCAAACAATAAAAGCAAAAATTTGATAATTTGGACTTCATCAAAATTTAAAACTTTTGTACATCAAAGAACCATCAAGAGGCGCCTGGATGGCTCAGTCGGTTAAGCATCTGCCTTCGGCTCAGGTCATGATCCCAAAGTCCAGGGAGCCGGCTTCTCCCCCTCCCTCTGCCTTCCACTCTGCCTCCTTGTGCACTCGCTCTCTCTCTCTGTCAAATAAATAAAATCTTAAAAACAAAAAAGAACACCACCAAGAAAGTGAAAAAGATAACTCACAGAAGGGTAGAAAATATTTGCAAATCATATATCTGAAAAGGGTCGAGTATCCAGAATACGTAAAGAAATTTTATAAGTTAATAACAAAAAGGCAAGTAACCCAATTTTTAAATAAGCAAAGGACTTAATTAAATAGATATTTTTCTAAAGACTATATACAAATGACCAACAAGCACATGAAAAGATATTCATCACTACTCATTAGGGAAATACAAATCCAAAGTACAGTGAGATACCACTTTACCACCACTAAGATAACTAGACTTAAAGGAAAAAAATAACAAAATAGTAAGTGTTGGCAAGAATTTGGAGAAATTGGAGCCCTCAAACGTGACCGGTAGGAATGTAAAATGCTGCTATGGGAAACAGTTTGGCTATTCAAAAAGTTAAACACAGAATTACCACATGATTCAGCGATTCCACTCATTCTGCTTTATATAATGTTCTACAGCATATATATACGTATATATTAAAATACTAATATATAGTATTATATATATTATATATATAATATATATATACTCAATAGAGTGGAACCACTAGATTCTGCTGCTCAACTTTTAAACATTGAATAAGAATGTGAGACCTCAGTGTTCCAGGTTGTTCTAAAACCCTACCCCAGCAAATCCACATACCACAAAGAATTGAAAACAGGTGTTCAAACAAAAACTTCCACATGAGTGTTTGTAGCAGGCCCTATTCACAGTAACCAAAAGGTTAAAACTACCCAAATACCCATCAAATGATGAATGGATGAATGAAATGAGATATATGTCCCCACAAAGGAATATTACTCGGCCATAAAAGGAGCAGAGTACCGACACGTGCAGCAACATGGATGGACCTTGAAAACAATGCTTTCCTTTTGTATGAAACATTCAGAATCAGCAAACTCATTAACAGAAACAGAAAAGCAGAGTCCTGGTTGCCAGGGGCTGAAGACTGACTGCTTAATAAGTATGAGGTGTCCTTGTGGGGTCTTGAAGTGTCCTGGAACTAGACAATGGTGACAGTTGCACAACATTGTGAATGCACTACATGTTCCTAATAGTAAACTTTATAATAAATTTTAAAACAACTCAAATTCTGACTGGGCCCAGCCAGGTGATGGAAATTAATGAACACAACTAGGTGTGGGACTTGGGCACACCGGAGCGTCAAATCCTCTCTGAAAGGGGGCAGCAACCACCCAGGTCCTCTGGGTGTTGCCAAGACAGAATTTGGGCCCATAGTTTCCAGACTGTCCAATGCTTCAGGAAAGTAACAACGTGGGTGCCTGGATGGCTCAGTCGGTAAAGCGTCTTCCGCTCGGGTTGGGATTCCAGGGTCCCGGGATCGAGTCCTGCATTGGGCTCCCTGCTCCATAGGGAGCCTGCTTCTCCCTCTGCCTCTGCCTCTTTGTCGCTCATAATACATAAATAAAATCTTAGAAAAAAAAACTCAGTGCATCTCAAACTTTTATGTACATATGAGTTACTTAGTGATCTTGTTAAAATGCAGATTCTGATTCAGTAGGTCTATGCTGGGTCCTGGGAATGTGCATTTCCAGCAAGCTCCTTGGTGGGGCTACAGCTCCACCAACCACACTCTGAATAGTGAGGGTCCAGCTCAGGGGTTCTCAAACTTCAGTGCACATTGGAAACTCCTGGGGAGTTTAATGCTGATGCTTAGGCCCCACCCCTCAGCAATTCTGATGTCATTGGTCAGGGCACTGTCACTCTAATGGGCAGCAAACTTCGAAAGCCAACACCCTAGATGACCCTCTAAGCTCTAAGACCTTCTGAAGCTATGCAGTATTTCTGGACAACAAGGGAACAGTTCTCCCTTCAATGTAACTTTTTGAGAATAAATTAGCCCCTAGAACCTTCTCTCCAACAAAGCATTCTGAACTTGAAGGATGTGGACCATAGTTCAGTGGCCATACAGGTATTTTGTAACTCTTGACAACCGACTGGATTTCCTTTGACCAGTAACTCCCTCCTTGGCCTCCTTACCTTTTGTTAGCAAGTTTCACGTAAGTTGGGTCTGAATTGTTAGCTGATCCTCAACTAGGTTAGATGAGACTCCTCCTTTCAAGGAAGGAAGAGTGCGTGCCCCGATCTGTACATCCCACACGGTCACAGAGGCTGTGGGGCTTGCCCAGAGCACAGCAGCATGACTCATCTTGGTGGGGGCACAAAAGGAAAACAGGCAAGGAGAAGAGACCGACGGATGTGCTCTTGCCTCTCCCCACTCACAGTCTCTGGAAAAACCTGTGACTCCTCTGTCTTGCTGCTTTGTACCTCTCCTCTCCCAGACCAACCGTGATCCCGCTGAAAGAGGGGTAATTAACAAAGAACAGAAAGAATTGAAAACCCTAACAGGAGCCTGAAAAAGAGCAGGCAGGCGAGAATGGAAGCCAGGAAGGGGAAGGAGAAACTTGGCAGGGTTTCCCGACAGGGCCTCCTCGCTAAGAGCATTACTGGAGTTATTCATGCCTGAGATGACAGGATGTGAACATGTTTGTCTTTATTATCGAGTAAATAGTACATGTGTGTGGCTTTCTTTTTCATTTTTTCCCCTGACTCCCCAGGGCTTTACCCCTTAATGTGGTCACTTTGAACATCGTTGGCATAAATTCACAATAGAAGAACATCTGTGACGAGGAGCACACCGAGGCAGGGAACTGTCTGGGACAGGGATGCAGCACACAGAAATTAGCCCAATCCTGTCGGCTGAAGCTGTATTGATTCAGTGATCCAGGAGATGCGGTCTCTTTTGGTTGTGATTGACCTTCTTCCCGGGGAAACTTCGATTTCAACCTCCCTCAACCAAAAGATAAGGGGATTGAGGCAAAAGCATCATATTGAAACCTTGATCAATAAAATGTGTGTGCAGAGAGATTTAGAAAACATCTGAGAGACTCACAAGAATTTTCTTTCCAGAAGCAATAAGGAGTGGGAAGTTTCAAATGATTCCTGTTAGTACAGGGCCTGGAGAAAATGACTATCAGCGCTGGAAGCCCAAATCTTCCGTTAATCATGGACCAGCAAGGGCAGGTCATCCCTATTCTGCATTCCCCAGATCCTCATAATATGGTCCGAGAGATCTTGCTTCTTCCTGCCTCTTCCAGGAAGCCTGCCCTGACCCCCTTTCCTGTCTATGAGCCTCATATGTGCCGGCGTTGTGGTACTTACCACATGAGAGGTAATTCCTACCTCCCATCCTTCCTAGATTATCAGGTCCTTGAGAGTTGGGACTGTGATTCATCCCAGTATCTCCAGGACCTACCATGGTGTCAGGTACAGAACAGCTGTTCAGTACATATTTGTGGAATTAAATACATAGAATGAAGAATGGGGCACTTGGGGGGCTCAGTCGGTTAGACATTCAACCCTTGATCTCAGCTCGGGTCTTTTTTTTTATATAAATTTATTTTTTATTGGTGTTCAACTTGCCAACATAGAGAATAACACCCAGTGCTCATCCCGTCAAGTGTCCCCCTCAGTGCCCGTCACCCATTCACCCCCACCCCCCGCCCTCCTCC